AGGTGACTGGTCCTCTTTAATAACATTCCGGCATAGAAAATACCACCAGCTGCCTCTAGTCTTAAAGTTGAACTGAAGGCAAAGCTTTTACTTCATGTTGGGTAAAGTAGGGAAGGGTTACAAGGGGGAGATTTCACCTCACTTCCTGTCCTATGGCCAACACAGGAAGTGAGAGGAAATCCCTCCAAAATGATGGATATTCCTGGTAGTCACTGAAAGTAGTGTCCTCATTGGAAGATTTCTCCCCTATTCCTGTCTTGGTGACCAAAATTTAGGATCTTCTTTCACTTCTGGTGGATAACAGACATTACAACACTTCCTGTCCCACAACCACAACAGGAAGTGAGGGAAAATCCTTCCAAAGTGAGGGAAATCCCTAACTGTCACCAGAACTAGTGTCCGCAATGGAAGAATTTCCCTTTTGGGATCTTCTTTACTTCCATTGATATTCCTGTTTTGGTGAAAACCCAAAATTTAGGATCCTCTTTTACTTCTGGTGGATAACAGTCACCAGGACACTTACTGTCCCATAGCCACAACAGGAAGTGAGGGAAAATCCTTCCAAACTGAGGGAAATCCCTAATTATCACTAGAACTAGTGTCCACAATGGAAGAATTTCCCCTTTGGGATCTTATTTGCTTCCATTGATATTCCTGTTTTGGTGAAAACCCCAAATTTAGGATCCTCTTTCACTTCTGGTGGATAACAGTCATCAGGACACTTCCTGTCCCATAGTCACAACAGGAAGAGGGAAAATCCTTCTAAACTGAGGGAAATTCATGTCACCAGAACTAGTGTCCGTAATGGAAGAATTTCCCCTTTGGGATCTTCTTTACTTCCATTGATATTCCTGTTTTGGTGAAAACCCAAAATTTAGGATCCTCTTTCACTTCTGGTGGATAACAGTCACCAGGACACTTACTGTCCCATAGCCACAACAGGAAGTGAGGGAAAATCCTTCCAAAGTGAGGAAAATCCCTAATTGTCACCAAAACTAGTGTCCGCAATGGAAGAATTTCCCCTTTGGGATCTTCTTTTGCTTCCATTGATATTCCTGTTTTGATGAAAACCCAAAATTTAGGATCCTCTTTCACTTCTGGTGGATAACAGTCACCAGGACACTTCCTGTCCCATTGCAAAAACAGGAAGTGAGAGGAAAGTTCTCTGAAATTAGGGAAATCCCTGGTAGTCATCAGAACTGGTGTCTTTGTTAGAAGATTTCTACTCTATTCCTGTTCTGGTGACATCCCAAAATTTGGGATCTTCTTTCACTTTCAATTCCAGGGATAATGGTCACCAGAACTAATAGAGTGAATCTCCCTAATGGGGACACAGACAGAAATAAAAGCCTGACAGGGGTTCTAATCCCTCTTCACTCTATTCAAAACTAAAAAAAATGCCTTCAGCTAGATTTTAATGGCAAATAACAGAATAATAAGCCAACAGATTTCAAATTTCCTACGTAGACACACGAGAATCTTTAAAAACACATTTTTGAATTGTTTCCATAGACTTTTCACATAGTAATAACTATTTACACCCTTCAGCCCTTTAAATGCCAGTGAATCATGGAACCATCAACACTAAATTTTTATAAGGACGTCATAGAGGCTGTGGTCTCGGGGGACAATCTGGAAATCTGAGCCCATACTTCCAGGGATGTTGGAGAATGTTGCCTCAGTTTCTACTTGGCAGACTTCACTGGTCATTGTTGGTTGAAGAGATGATAAACTTGAAGATGGTTTCATGTGAACCATTCAACGTTGATGTCATAATTAGAAAAAACAATAAGACCACCATACATGATATTAACATTGGCAGGTTGATGGCATAGAAATGTTCTTCTTGACCATGACATGATGGTCTTCATTTGGTGGTCCTCCACTGGCTCTTGAGTTGATCCTGAAATCCAACACATCTTGATCAAACATATTATTCTGGAATCAGACGTTTCGACAGCAGGATTTTCTATCTTCTGCTATTTGGCCTTCAGATTGACCTTGATTGGGTTGGTTGGATAAGACAACTGTGTTCTCTTTTGGGGTTTCACCTTTGTTCCTCAGAACCCTCCTGTGAATGTCTAGAACATAAGAAGAGACAAGTCTAAACTTTGCCACATTTTATAATCTAACTGTACCAATTCAATTAGAATCACCAACTATGATGTGCAAGGTCTGCCTAACTGGATACAAATTGATTGGATAGTTAAGGTCAGGTCTTATAATTATGGTAAATCTAAGGTTGATTATGACCAGTAGATGGATCTGAGGATGGGACTAGACCATGAGATGGAGCTGAGGATAGAGCTAGACAACGAGATAGAGCTGAGGATTGAGTTAGACCACAAAAGGAGCTGAGGATGGAGCTAGACCACATGATGGGACTAGACCATGAGATGGAGCTGAGGATGGAGCTAGACCATGAGATAGAGCTGAGGATTGAGCTAGATGATGAGAAGGAGCTGCGGATGGAGCTAGACCACAAGAAGGAGCTGCGGATGGAGCTAGACTACAAGAAGGAGCTGCGGATGGAGCTAGACCACGAGAAAGAGCTGAGGATGCAGCTAGTCCTCTAGTTGGAGTTGAGAAAGGAGCCAGACCACTAAATGGAGCTGAGGATGGAATTAGATCACTAGATGGATCTGAGACCACTAGATGAAGCTTAAGATAATAGGAAATATAATTACATTATCTAACTGTATCAGATAATTTAGAATCACCAACTATGTAGTGAAAGGTCTGCCTAAATGGATACTGATTGATTTGGTCAGGCCTTAAGATTTTAGTAACTCTAAGGTTGATTATGGCCAGTAGATGGAGATGAGGATGGAGCTATACCACTAGATGGAGTTGAGGATTGAGCTATACCACTAGATGAAGTTGAGGATGGAGCTAGACCACAAGATGGAGCTGAAGATGGATCTAGACCACTAAATGGAGCTTAAGAGGAAGCTAGACCATGAGATGAAGCTAAGGATAGAGCTAGACCATTAAATGGAGCTGAGGATGGAGCTAGACCACTAAATAGATCTGAGGATGGAGCCAGACCATGGGATGGAGCTGAGGATGGAGCTAGACCATAGGATGGAGCTGAGGATGGAGCAAGAACACTAACTTGAGCTGAGTATGGAGCTAGACCATGAAATGCAGTCAAGGATGGAACTAGACCACGAGATGGAGCTGAGGATGAAGTTAGACCACTAAAGGGAGCTGAGAATGGAGCTAGACCATGAGATGGAGCTAGACCATGAGGTGGAGCTGAGGATGGAGCTAGATAGCAAGATGGAGCTGAGGATAGTGATAGAACACTAGATGGAGCTGAGGATTGAGCTAGACCACTAGATGAAGTTGAGGATGGAGTTAGACCATGAGATGGAGCTGAGGATGGAGCTAGACCATGAGATGGAGCTGAGGACAGAGCCAGACCACTAGATGGAACTAGACCACAAGATGGAGCTGAGGATGAAGCTAGACCAAAAGATGGAGTTGAGGATGGAGCTAGACCAATAAAGGGAGCTGAGGATGGAGTTAGACCACCAGATGGAGCCGATGATGGAGCTAGACCACAAGATGGAGATGAGGATGGAGCTAGACCCATAGATGGAGTTAAGGAAGAAGCTAGACCACAAGATGGAGCTAGATCACTAAATGGAGCTGAGGATGGAGCTAGACTACTAGATGGATCTGAGGATGAAGCTAAACCACTAGATTGATCTGAGGATGTAGCTAGGCCACAAGATGGAGTTGAGGATGGAGCTAGACCACTAAATGGAGCCAATGATGGAGCTAGACTACGAGATGGAGCTAGACCACTAGATGGAGTTGAGGAAGAAGCTAGACAACAAGATGGCGCGCTAAACCACTAATGGAGCTGAGGATGGAGCTAGACCACAAGATGGATCTGAGGATGGAGCTAGACCACAAGCTGGAGCTGAGCATAGAGCTACATCGCTAGATAAAGTTGAGGATGGAGGTAGACCATGAGATGGAAAGGAGGATGGAGCTAAACCACGATATGGAGCTGTAGATGAAGCTAGACCACTAGATGGATCGGAGGTCACTAGATGGAGTTTAGGATCATAGGAAAGTCTGTACTTTTTATAACCCTCAGCTCCATCTAAAAAGGCCATAATGAGGTATTTTCCTAAACCATTTTTTTCTATTAATGAATAACTTGCAACTTGTAGAAGAAATAAGAGGAGAACAATCGATTTAGCCCCATTCTCACATATAAATGTGCAGCAGTTTCATTGGATGAATAGCGATGCAATTCTTTTATATATAAAAGCATACTAATGTGTTACCCACAAGGTTTTTATGCATTACCTGCTTCCCTATACCAAGGATGTATTATAAGGTATGTGTCCACTTATCCACTACGTGACTTCCACCACAATTATGTTTGTGCCATTTGTACTTTGACCTAATGGATGGCACATCACGAGCTTTTCTTAGAAGACCACTTCAGTATTCAGTACCGAGCACAGGCTCTGGAGTGGTATTCTAAGAAAAGCTCTCGCTGTGCTGTTCCTTTGGTCGGAGTACAAATAGCACAAACATATTTGTGGTGGAACTCATGCAGAGGATACCTGAATACATCCCTCATAGGATACGTTCTTGGAATGCGGAGGCAGATGATGTATTTAAACTTGGAGATTGTAATTTATGGCGTACAGTTGAACATTAACCCTTCTGCACACATACAGTATACTAAAATACACATTTCGTACATGAACCATGCACTTAACCTCTTCAGTACCAGACTGATGAAAGCAGGGGCGGACTGACCATTTGAAAACTCAGGCACTGCCCGAGGGCCCGGGGTCAGTAGGGGGCCCCATGAGATGCCCCTGGTACCTTTTTCATAGGCTTTTTTGAGTTTGGGCAAGGACGCAGGGGCCCCATGATCCCCTATTGCCCGGGGGCCCCATGAGTTGTCAGTCCACCCCTGGATGAAAGACTTCCTCTTGCCTGTAGTAGACTGATGATATCATCTCAGCCTAGACAAAGTCATAGACTGGAGCACATTGACTGCCCTCACCTCTAAGGATTGTTTCGAAAGCCAGTTCCACATTGGTTGAATCAAGCGCAGAGGTCTCTATGAACAACAGTCCATTGCTGTCTGTTAACAGGAGTAAAAAAAAAAGAATTAAAGAGGATTTCGCCTTTAAATCAAACTGCATAAAAAAATACATAAGAGCCAAAACTACATTACTGTAATAGATAAAAAAATGATTCCTGACCTGCCCATTGATTGATCAATGCTCTGCTGGCGTTAAACACGCACATAGCAAAACAGCCTGTAATTTTGGAAGTGGGCGAGTTTGTGATTAGGCAAATGTTCAGCTGCTGCAGATCAGCAGTTAACAGAGGAGGCATGTTGACAGATTGGAGAACTTCCTTATGACAGCCATAATGTATATAACTCATATGTGTATAAATTAGGGTACAGGACAGAAATACACTAGGCAAGATACACTATATGGCCAAAATTTCTGGACACCTGAGCAGCACACCTATATGAACTTGTTGGACATACCATTCCGAACCCATGGGCATTAATATGGAGTTGACCCTCTTTGATAGTATGCTTCTACTTTTCTGGGAGGATTCTCCACAATTGCCCATTCATCCAAAAGAAGACCTGTGAGGTCAGGTACTGATGTTGGATGAGAAGACCTGGCTCACCGTAGGTGTTCCAATTCAAGATGTTCAGTAGAGTTGAGGTTGGGTTCTGTGCAGGACACTCGAGTTCCTCCACACCAAACTGGTCAGACCATGTCTTTATGGAGCTGGCCACCATTTGTAAGGTCAGGTACTGATGTTGGATGGGAAGACCTGGTTTACACTCAATGTTCTATTTCAGTAGAGTTGAAGGTCAGGGTTCTGTGCAGGCATCTTGAGTTCCTCCAAACCAAACTGGTAAAACCATGTCTTTATGAAGCTGGCCATCATTTATGTGGTCTAGTACTGATGTTAGCGTAGAAGACCTGGCTCACCATCAGTGTTCCAATTCAATTACTGATGTTCAGTAGGGTTGAGGTCAGGGCTTTGTGCAGGACATTTGAGTTCCATGTCTTTTTGAGGCTGGCCACCATTTATGAGGCTGATGTTGGATGAGAAGACCTGGTTCACAATCAATGTTACAATTCATTCAAAAGGTAGGGTTGAGGTCTATACCATACTTATACTTATATTGGTCCAACCATGTCTTTATGGAGCTGGCCACCATTTATGACATCAGATGTTGAATAGGAAAACCTGGATCACCATCACCATTTCAACTCATCCCAAAGGTGTTCAGCAGGGTTGATGTCTGGGCTCTGTGTAGGCCACTTGAGTCTCTCCACACCAAACTGGTCAAACCATGTCTCTGTGGAGCTGGCTTTGTACACAGAAGCACCATCATGGTGGAACAGGAAAAGGACCTTCCCCAAACTGTCACCACAAGGTTGGGCAAGAACAATTTTTTAAAATGTCTTTAAATGCTGTAGTATTATGAGAACCCTTTACTGGGTACTCAGTAATTTGGAGGGGTGTCCCTAAATTTAGTCATACGGTATAGTCCAGTGATGTTGTAGCGCCCACTCGTGGTTACCTGCATACATCTTGGCTTCCTCGGAGGGCACTTCGCGAGCTTCATCTGCCAGGTCGTTCTTGTTGCCCACCAACATGACAATGATACTGGCATCTGCATGGTCATACAGCTCCTTCAACCAGCGCTCTATGCTGTCGTAGGACTGGTGCTTGGTGATGTCGTACACCAAAAGTGCTCCGACGGCACCCCTGTAGTAACTAGAAATGGAACCAGGGTGATCAGACAGCTCCTTAAAGGCAATATGACCTAAAATAATATTGTTGCAAATTAAGGAAAGAGTCATAAAACACCACTTGAAGCTAAAAAAAAAAAGGGGCCTCCTGAAACTGCAAGGGTTGAATGCTCATTAGATCTTGGGTTAAAGGACTAAGGTGTAATATTTACCTTATTACTCACTCCGGCAGGCTTACTCCATGCAGTGCGACGGGTCCCAGCAAGCTTCCTCTCTATGCCTTCCTGTACTAAAGACCAGTCACTGCTGCTTTCTCAACTTGTGCAGGTAGATTGGTCTCGTCTCCGCCCCCTCCTGTAGTTTTCTATAGTGGGTGCTGCCTGCTTGGCCCCTCCCACAGCTCTGCTCTCTGCACAGGCTATGTACAGCACAGTGATGATGTCACTGCTACTTTTAGAAGGTAAGATCTTGGTTTGCAAAGGCATTTGCAGCTGCTGTGATTCTCAATTTTCCATAAATACAGAATTTTTGAACAGGCATTTAGAAGCATTCTCTGTAGCATTTCCTGAGCATTTTTCAAGCATCTTGTGATATTTCTGGACACGTTGCGATTGTTTTATGAGCAAATACAACAACAGGTGGAGATGATGGAATATTCTAGTGAAACGCTGCATGCAGGCGATTTTTTATAACGTGCCCCAAGCAGTCCAGTGTACAGTCCCATCAGGAAACAATGCAATTCATACAAGTCTCTGGCAATGTTTCCAACAGCTGCAGAGTGCTAGGAAATGCTTAAAGGGGTTGAATGTTCTTTTTTGTAGTTGTGCTTTAACCGCCCAGCTACCAACTAGTAGGAAAACAAAAAAATTGTGAAGGCTGAGTTATAGTGAGTAACAACATGAAAACCCAGCCTGCAGCCTTTGAACTTCAGAACGGGTTGAGCCTTAATTTTTGTAGTTGGGTTCTAACCACCCAGCAGCTAACCAGTAAGAGAAAAAAAATTTGCAGAGGCTGTTACAACATGAAAACCCTTTACAAGGGTTGGGCCAAGGGGTAGGCAGAAGTGGCGCAGCCTTGGCACTTCAGGACGGGTTGGCCCTTCATTTTTGTAGTTGGGTTCTAACCACCCAGCTGCCAACCAGTAGGAGAAAACATTTTTGTAGAGGCTGTTACAACATTAAAACCCTTTATCCAGGGTTGGGCCAAGGGGTAGGCAGAAGAGGCGGCAGCCTTGGCACTTCAGAACGGGTTGGGTCTTCATTTTTGTAGTTGGGTTCTAACCACCCAGCTGCTAACCAGTAGGAAAAAAATTTTTTGTAGAGGCTGTTATAACATGAAAACCCTTTATCCAGGGTTGGGCCAAGGGGTAGGCAGAAGAGGCGGCAGTATGGGCACTTCAGAACGGGTTGGGCCTTCATTTTTGTAGTTGAGTTCTGACCACCCAGCTGCTAACCAGTAGGAGGAAATTTTTTTTGTAGAGGCTGTTACAACATGAAAACCCTTTATCCAGGTTTGGGCCAAGGGGTAGGCAGAAGAGGCGGCAGCCTTGGCACTTCAGAATGGGTTGGCCCTTCATTTTTGTAGTTGGGTTCTAACTACCCAGCTGCTAACCAGTAGGAGAAAAAACATTTTGTAGAGGCTATTACAACATTAAAACCCTTTATCCAGGGCTGGGCCAAAGGGTAGGCAGAAGAGGTGGCAGCCATGGCACTTCAGAAGGGTTGGGCCTTCATTTTTGTAGTTGGGTTCTGACCACCCAGCTGCTAACCAGTAGGAGGAAAAACTTTTTCTAGAGGCTGTTACAACATGAAAACCCTTTATCCAAGTTTGGACCAAGGGGTAAGCAGAAGAGGTGGCAGCATTGGCACTTCAGAACGGGTTGGGCCTTCATTTTTGTAGTTGGGTTCTAACCACCCAGCTGCTAACCAGTAGGAGAAGAACATTTTGTAGAGGCTGTTACAACATGAAAACCCTTTATCCAGGGTTGGGCCAAGGGGTAGGCAGAAGATGCGGCAGCCTTGGCACTTCAGAACGGATTGGCCCTTCATTTCTGTAGTTGGGTTCTGACCACCCAGTTGCTAACCAGTAGTAGAAAAAATTTTTGTAGAGGCTGTTACAACATGAAAACCCTTTATCCAGGGTTGGGCCAAGGGATAAGCAGAAGAGGCGGCAGCCTTGGCACTTCAGAACGGGTTGGGCCTTCATTTTTGTAGTTGGGTTCTAACCACCCAGCTGCTAACCAGTAGGAGAAAGAATTTTTGTAGAGGCTGTTACAGTGAGTAACAACATGAAACCCCTTTATCCAGGGTTGTGCCAAGGGGTAGGCAGAAGAGGCTGAAGCCTTGGGCGCTTCAGAAGGAAGGGGGTGCAGAAAGGGCAGGACCTGCATCCTATGCTGCTGATGTAGTTCACAGCTCATGCCATGACAGGGTGCACTTTGATCTTTTCGCTTTGGGTGCTAAAGGACTCTTTCTTCAAGCTACATGTCTATCAGGTAAGTAGAGCATGCGGGTTATGCCACACGGCCGAGTCTGGACTTACGCGGATGTGATTGCTCGATAGCGCTCCAGTCCGGCCGTGTCCCAGATCTGCGCCTTCACCAATTGCCCATCCAGCGTCAGAGTGCGCGTAGAGAACTCCACCCCGATGGTGGTGCGGCTGTCATGGTTGAACTCGTTGCGGGTGAAGCGGGAGAGGAGGTTGGTTTTGCCCACTCCAGACTCACCGATCAAAACCACTGCGGAGAACGAAGAGGGGATTTTAAAAAACACCAGTAATAATTATTCATGGCAAATCAAATCTTTGCATTTTAAAGTACTCTGTCCTTAGCGGTGACCAATAACGAGCTGTGGTCACTAATGTATAGTGGATTGTATACGTCTTCTAGTCTTATTTTCTATAATAAGAACTAAAAAAAAATAACATTTTGTAAGGTAAATATGAGATTTTGTATACTAATGTTATGCATTTTTATTTTCAGCCAGCAGGTGGAGCTCTCAGCCCCTTTTTCACATTCTACAGGCTCTCATTGGCTCCACTGTTGAAGAAAAAAAAAAACAGAGCTCAATAGCTCAAGCTGAAATTTACACACGCAATTGAATGAGTCAAAGCAATGACTCCTCCCCCTCCCTTAGTATGATTTTGGGGTTTCTAAGAGATGTATTAAACATCTGTAAGCTAAAGATAGTACCAGAAGTACCGTAATACTGTAAGTGACACGGAAAAGACATAGATGTCCGGACTTGCCAAGACAGCCCACATTTCGGACCTGTTTGGGTCAAGGTGTCTCAGGATCACAGTATCACCCTTATTTGAGATACTGCACTGTTAAAGCATTCATTGTGATCATTGGAAAGGGGGGCACAAGTGGGTGAGCCCCAAATAGATACAGACAGGGTTTGGGTGGGCCACTTCCAAACGTGGGTGTGGTTAGGTTTGGAGCCGTTTGGTTAGGTTTGGAGTCGATGGGGAAAGCCTGAGGCAGACTGTGGGTGAGGTTAACTGTTTGAATGCAGTAAGTGATGGAGGAGAGCCTGTCTGAGCAGTGAAAGGGTCCTTGAATGGTCAGAACAGGCATCCCAAGGGAGACTGGTGGGTGCTCCTCTGTTGACCAAGATCCATGGTTAGCTAGGTTGAAGTAAACCAGTAGAAAAAAAATAAATAAATGGAAAACCTTACAGAATCCTATTCCCACAGTTGATCCAGAGGAACCGACAATTGAGCCAGAGGAATCCATGGTTGCTACAGAAGAACCCACAGTTGATACAGGGGAGCCCACAGTTGATACAGAGGAAATCACAGTTGATCCAGAGGAATCCACAATTGACACAGAGGAACCCACAATTGACACAAAGGAACCCACAGCTGACACAGAAGAACCCACAGTTGTTACAGAGGAACTCATAGTTGATGCAGAGAAAACCACAGTTGACACAGAGAAATCCACACTTGATCCAGAGGAATCCACAATTGACACAGAGGAACCCACAGTTGACACAGAATAACCCACAATTATTACAGAGGAACCCACCCTTGATCCAGACGAATCCACAATTGACACAGAGGGACCCACAGTTGACACAGAGGAACCCACAATTGACACAGAGGAACCACAGTTGATCCAGAGGAACCCACAGCTGACACAGATGAACCCATAGTTTATACAGAGAAACCCACAGTTGACACAGATGAACCACAGTTGATCCAGAGGAAACCACAGCTGACACAGATGAACCCATAGTTTATACAGAGAAACCCACAGTTGACACAGAGAAACCCACACTTGATCCAGAGGAATCAGCAATTGACACAGAGGAACCCACAATTGACACAGAGGAACCCACAGTTGACACAGAATAACCCACAATTATTACAGAGGAACCCACAGTTGATACAGAGAAACCCACACTTGATCCAGAAGAATCAGCAATTGACACAGAGGAACCCACAGTTGACACAGATGAACCCATAGTTGATACAGAGGAACCCACAGTTGACACAGAGGAACCCACATTTGACCCAGAGGAACCCACAGTTGATACAGAGAAACTCACCGTTGATCCAGAGGAACCCACAGTTGACACAGAGAAACCCACAGCACAGTGGCTAAATGGTTAGCCCTTCTGCCTGGCAGTACTAGGGTCGTTGGTTCAAAGCCCAACCACAGCACCACCTGCCTGGAGTTTGCATGTTCTCCCTGTGCCTGTGTGGGTTTCCTCCAAGTACTCCGGTTTCCTCCCACGCTCCAAAGGCATGCTTGTAGGTGAATTGGATCCTGTCTAAATTGGCCCTAGTATGTATATGTATGAATGTGAGTTGGGGGCCTTAGGTTGTACACCCCTTGAGGATTAGGAACCTTAGATTGTACACCCCTTGAGGATTAGGGACCTTAGATTGTACACCCCTTGAGGATTAGGGACTGATGGGCAATATATATATGTAAATTTATGGTGTTATATAAGTACCTGAAATAAATAAATAACCCACAGTTGATCTGGAGGATCCCAAAATTTATACAAAGGAACCCACAGTTGATCTGGAGGAACCCATAATTTATACAAAGGAACCCACAGTTGATCTGGAGGAACCCATAATTTATACAAAGGAACCCACAGTTGATCTGAAGGAACCCATAATTTATACAAAGGAACCCACAGTTGATCTGGAGGAACCCATAATTTATACAAAGGAACCCACAGTTGATCCAGAGGAAGGCAAAAAATCCTATAAAGTATGGTCCACTTTGCTCAAGTAAAAAAAATGGAAACCCTACAGAATACTGTTGATCTAGAGGAACCAATAATTGATCCAGAGGAACCCACCGCTGTTACAGAGGAAGGCAAAAAATCCTGTAAAGTATTGTCCACTTTGCTAAAGCGGTTAAAATAAATTCCTTCTTGACCCCCCAGGAGACAATGTGATATTCCCTGGATCAACAATCTCAAGGGCAGTGTTGAGAATGGTCGTACAGTCCTGTTTGGCACCTACAGACAGGTATCATAATGGTATTGCAATACACCACAGCACATGGGCCCTTTCACACTTATGCAGGTGAAAATGCCATAGAAAAATTTGTTTGTGCATTGCCATGCATTTTCAGAGAGCTGCAACACAAAGTAGCCTGTTGCATTGAGGACCCATGGAAAGTAAATAATGCACCTGAATAAGCAGGCCCTAAAAAAAAAAAAAAAAATTTTTAAAAGTTTCCGTGTAAATGACAGCCATCACAAATATGTCTAACAGGATTATTTCCAATGATTAGCTCTCCATCTAGTGGCCATAAGGCATTTTTTTTTTATTGCAGTATTTCAGGAAAATACCTCATTATGGCCACTAGTTGGAGTTGACAATCATAGGAAACAAACCTACTGGGAAAATTACGGGAATTATTTGTGACTGCTGTGCCAATGCTTGAGTATTTTTTTTTTTTTTTTTTTAGAAAAAGGCCCATAAGTGTGAATGGGGGCTAAAGTGTTACCTGCTAGTCACTGGAATTAGCGATTGTAGCAGTGATTGCACTCGCATATATAGTCGCTTTGTCTGCCCTGTATAGCAAACTCATCACTGATTGTTGGTGAGGAGCGCTCTTGTGCTATGGTGGTCCTTAGGCTGGCCATACACTTTACCAGTGGTCTCCAAACTGTGTCCTGGGGGCCAGACGTGGCCTTTTGCTTGTCTTTATCTGGCCCTTGGAGCACTGTTCTACCAACTGACACCAATGATGAGCACCATTCCCCCTACTGACACCATCAATGGGGCACTATTCTTCTAATTGATATCAACAATAGGGCACTATTGCTCCCAATAAAACCAATGATATGTCCCTGATGCTGGAGCATTTTGTACTCCCCCTGGCCACAGTTTGGCCCCCCCCCCAAACCTAAAGGGCAATAAACTGGCCCTTTGCTTAGAAAATGTGGCGACCCCAACCTTTCTCAAACCTTTATAGACAGAGGAAACCTTTCAGATCCCAGGGAACCCCTGGTAAGATTAGCCCATTGGGGTCATTGGGAAAATGCCCTTTACATTGGTGGTGGTAAGTGGGAACAATGCTGCCCTAACTGGGGTGGCCAGAATGACACCCTTGTAGTCATCCTGCTGGCTCTACCAAGTAGCATTGGATCTGGAGCAATGCAGTCACCATCATATCGGAGGTTAGTTATCCACAGCCTAAGAAACCCCTAGCCAACCTAGAAGGAACCCTGGCTATAAGGACACACCTACACAACCCATTCTATTGGTATCCAATCTGGTAGGCCCCTACATTACATAGTTGAAGGTAGATTGTACAATCAGATAGTATAGTGTATGGCCATGTGCAGGGGTGGACTGACCATTCGAGCACTCTGGCACTGCCTGAGGGCCCGGGGTCAGTAGGGGGCCCCATGAAATGCCCCTGATACCTTTTATAGGCTTTTTTGGGTGTGCTTTGAGTGTGGACAAGGACATAGGGGCCCCATGATCCGCTATTGCCTGGGGGCCCCACGAGTTGTCAGTCCGCCCCTGACCATGTGTAGGATGATGTCATAAGAAGTACACATGCAAAATTGATCAGAGTTTCCTGAAAAAGACAACTTGGAGTGGATGAAGGTCTCGGAGATTGTATCTGAAGGTATAATGCCAAGACAAATTTTACAGGCTAGGCTGAGTTTGTCGGTAAATACTTCCTGAGATGACTATCATCAGCTTGTTGACTCTGTAGGACCTAGGATAAAGTCAAGAACTGGATAAAGGGAAACGCAACCCTGTTTGATCATCGTTTTTTTATATTTTCAGATATATACTGTAAGTGATCAGATAATTTATACAATCTTATTGATGGGTGCAATTTGTAGAGCCTAGGCCAGCCCTTCTCCGATTGGGTTCTTCCAGAAATTGCTAGGGGTTCCTTGAACAATGGCAATTTATGGCTCTCAGATATACAACTGCTGCCAGCAGATATCTTTTTAGCTATCTGTAAGGGTGGCATTCCTCCCAAAGACCACAAGTGTAAGGAGCATTATTCGTAAAGACAACCAATGTAAGGAGCATTCTTCTCACGGACCACCAATGTAAGGAGCATTCTTCTCACGGACCACCAATTTAAAAAGCATTAATCTCAAAGACCACTAATGTAGGGAGAATCCTTCTGAAAGACCACCAATTTAAGGAGCATTATTCTCAAAGACAACCAATACTGTATGAGGAGCATTCTTCTCAAAGACCATCAATGTAGGGAGAATCCTTCTTAAAGATCACC